ACTACTAAAAAAGTGCTCATTTTTTTATTTAATCTCTGGAAAACAAATGTGCTCTGTTATGAGAAAGAATTATTTTAGTGCAGGAAAAAGTGCATTATATATCACGTACCTCTTGTATTGCTTTCAAATAATTGAAACTCTTCATGTAAAAAGATTACAAAACATGGAATCAAACTTAAATTTAGATTGTTAAAGTAGACATTTAATCACTTCTTATTATAATGCATATTCCACAAAGTTACAAGACAGAAACTTTATACATATTTATAAATATATATGTTCATAAACGTATACATATATATGAAGAAAAATGATGATTTACATTAACATTATTTATTAGTTTTTAAAATTCCTCTCTCAGTACATAACAAATGGCTTCTAATAACGTTTACAAAACAAAACAACAGCTGTATTACGCAGTAACATCCTTTTAATATAAAAGAGTGGACTCCAATAAATTACACAGTATTTATTAATAAGTAGATGTAAAATTGATAGATTCAGAAGCTATATCTGACTATTTAGAGATTTAATATACTACCATTTACAAAAACAATATTCTGTGTCAAAAGCATTGTTAGGTATCAATAACACACAACTTTAAAAATGCAATGTAATGTAGTAAATGAAATGAAGATGCTTAAAGCGAAATAATACTTAATATTGTTCTTTAACGTTTGATTAAAATTCTTTTCATAAGATATCCACTTGTTTGCAGATAATATAAGCACATTTATCATTGCTTCATTAATTTGCATATGTAATATTTTAATTCAAAATGTACATGCTTTATTGAACCACAATTCTATCTACAATCAAGCAATTTTAAAAGAACATTTTTTCAAATATATTGAGCACAGAATCTTTTATTTTTTAAATAAATTTATTTATTAAATAATTTTTAATAGAGCATTGTAAAAAGTGTAAGTTTCTATTTAAATAAATCTCGTGGTTATGCAAATGTTATGAAATTTTACAGGAGAGGCAATATATGCAAATAATTGGTCTTGTTCTATTTGAAGCAATAACTTACTGGGCATTGGTGTTACTAACACGTATTTTAAAATATAAACATTATTAAAACAGAATAGAAACACGCCAAAGTAAATTATAAAACGAGCAACGCAGCAATCGTATGTTTGTCGTGTTTCTCATGATGGAGAAGGATCTGTATCTCAGTTCTCTCGAAATCGATTGAGTTCCTAATAGAATCTACGCCAAACACAAGGTTGTTGTTTGCTAACAAATATTATTATCTAAATTGAGTATTTGATTACTGACGTTAAGTGGACATATTGAATCTAACTTTACTTAATCTTCTACTTTTATTAAAAGAAATTCTCATAAAGTTTCAATAAAACTAGGATACAATCGGAGATAATATATTTTAAAATATACATGTTTAATATTCTAATGAGCGTTTCAAATAAAACAATACAGTAACAGAATGCAAAGAGTATTACGAAAAATACATCTGTTTTAGTCACAAAATAAAAAGGATGGAAATTGAAATATAATAGAATACTTATCGAATGTAAAAGAGGGGAAGAACATGTACTTAGAAGGCACAATTTTGAAATTGCCGCGATTGGTAAAATCCTGTCGGCACAAATATTTAATGCAGAAAAGAAATAAATATTCTCGTGCATTAAGAATATTAATAAAATTAAATAGTTTATTAAAAGTGTTGAATAAACATTTGCATTCTTTATCATTTACATACATTAATGTGTTTTTATATTATGCAACATGGGCTAACGAAAATTTATGCTACATCTTGTCAAGCATTTATCATCGCAGGATGAATTTTAGTCTGCAAAAACCGAAAATTCACGATGAAAGATATACATTATTACCTAAATGATTGTTTTGAAATTATAAATTGAAAAGATCACAGTATATAATAGCTAGAAATATTTATACTTCATGAGAAGAACCACATTTGATGACATCCATTTAATGGGTGTCGGAGAAAGATATTTATTATTATAAAAATTGGTTGAGAAAAGCAAATATTTCTAAAGAGATGTGTCTGGCGATATGTTGGGGAAAAAAAAAAACTTTCAATTTATTTTACATCTGAAAGGAATTCATTGCTTTCAATTTCAAGAAAATAATTTTCGATATGAATAGATGCTGCTGCTAGTCGAAGAATAATAAGATTTACTTTTACTTTAGATTTTACAAAAATGCTTTATTGAATACATAGTTAAGTTAATCATTTAAAAATCATTTTATCTATCATTTGCGTCAAATGTTCTTGCACATCATGAAAGCCTTTAACAAAATGCTTTGCCTCATACTCTGATAGGCTAATTGAAAAGGTTTAAACTCTGTTTCTTTGCACTGTCTTCTGAAAAATAAAATCTAATTGTTATGAGAAAGTTTTAAAGAAATAACGCAGAAATTACAAACATATTTCTTCCTCTCTGCCTTTCTCTTTCTATATATTTATTTTAAATTTGTTTAAAGAAAAACATACTTTTTAGATATTTTGGAGATTTTTTTTGCATATCATTTTGCGTTCACAAAAGAATATCAGAAACGAACATTTTAGAAATTTTATTCTTTTTAATACAAAATTTAATGTGTAAACTCTAAGCCTTAAGCAATGGCAAGAATAAATCACAAAGTTTTACAGGGGGAAAAGTGTTTTTATGCCTTTGGTATTTAAATATTTTTGTTTAAATTATTCGTGAATTTTTTTTTTTTAAATGTTGGAGGTTAATTCTTCTTAGAAGTTTCAAGCTGTACACATTGAATTTTTTAGACATCAATGTTTTTGTTACATTACCCTCCCCCCCAATCAAAATGGCTTATAATGTTAAAAGATGGCAATAGCGACTTGTTGTATTCATAATGGTGTTACGTCACTTTTCTGAAGGAACTGGAAGACGCGAAGAGAACTCCCAGCTGGAATTACGATTGGTCATAAATTATAGCACTGGAGAGAACTTTGTGTCACTTGCAGGAAAAACCTCTCCTCGCCTCTACCGGGAAGGGGTTGAATTTTCCTTCGATCGTAGGTGGGAGAAATTAGAATGGAAAGACACGGACGCGGGGTTCGCTCTTTTGTAGAGAAAATCTATTTAAAAATTTCTTGAATGTAATTATTGTACATAGTTTTATGTATCATAAAATTTATTTAGCATCGAAATGCAAATCATTTAGCCTAGAAATCCAGAACTTGATTTCTTGGGTACGTCTCAATGACGTCCATTCAGGAAAAGCTCAGTGAGCATTGCAATTAATTGAAAGAGTTTCTCTCATACACTTGGCGTAAAGAGTAGCTGTAAAAACACAAAAAGATACCTTATGTATATTATCATCTAATAGTTAAAAATACAAGAAATTTAATATTAACCAGAGAATAACATCTAATTTGGTTTTGAATTTAAAACAATCTCTATCAAATCGAGAACAGGCCATTGTTCTTCAGAAGCAAAAAAGAATTTATTTTTCCAAAAATAAGAGGAGCGAGAATTATTTTATATCAGAATCACTAGACGGAACAAAACAGAAACCTAACTAGCGCCACCTCTCCAGGACCTCTCCAGGTTATGGAATGTGAAAAACAGAGGTATTAGGTACTAAAATCTTTAACGCTTGGCAAATTTTAACCTTGACAGCTTTGACAATTTTAACGCTCTTTTAGTTTTGACGATAACATTTTAGCGCTTGGCAAATTTTAACCTTGACATCTTTGACAAATTTTAACTCTATTTTAGTTTTGTCGATAAAGTTTTAGCGCTTGGCAAATTTTAACCTTGACATCCTTGACAAATTTTAACGCTATTTTAGTTTTGTCGATAACGTTTTAGCGCTTGGCAAATTTTAACCTTGACAAACTTTAATGCTATTTTATTTTTGTCGATATAAGTCTACTCACACAGACAAGATATAAGTTCTCGAGGACTCAGAAATATGATCTTCAAGAATCTAACAACCAATTTTACTAGTTAATGACAAAATGATTGACAAAATGAACTTATGTAAAATCCGAGCAATTTTGCAAGGGTTACTAGGATGAACGGAAAAGGAGATGAGGTTATTTTGCTTATTTCTGAACAACCGAATAACTTTTCCGATAGCAAGACGAACAGTACTAATTCAGAAGTCAAACAACAAAAATCAGCGTTATACCTACAAAATTTTCACAGGACTAGTTTCGATGGTTTTACCGAACCATCATCTTCAGCTGCAAAACCGCAAATGAACAAGATAGGAAATAATGATTAGATAAGATAAGAAAGCCTGGACAAGAATAAGCAAGTGGCGCCATCTGTTGGCGAAACCAGAACTAAAACATAATTTCTCTAAAAGCCGAAGGCAAATTTGGATTGGAATTAGGATCGTTAACTAGAACAGAAAGATTTTTATGAATGTGAAATGCCTCTAGAAAATCCAGTTCTCCAATGGAAGATGCTTTTTGAATAATTTTGGCAGCAGAAAAATTGAAAGTGTGATTTTCGGACCAACAATGTTGAGCAACAGAAGACTTCTGTGTTTCCTTTTTTCTAACATATGCCTCATGTTGTTTGACGCGAAATTTTAATGCGGCTAATGAAACATTGGCCAAACTAGGAGAGCCTTAAAATTTCGCGTCAAAGAACATGAGGCATATGTTAGAAAAAAGGAAACACAGAAGTCTTCTGTTGCTCAACATTGTTGGTCCGAAAATCACACTTTCAATTTTTCTGCTGCCAAAATTATTCAAAAAACATCTTCCATTGGAGAACTGGATTTTCTAGAGGCATTTCACATTCATAAAAATCTTTCTGTTCTAGTTAACGATCCTAATTCCAATCCAAATTTGCCTTCGGCTTTTAGAGAAATTATGTTTTAGTTCTGGTTTCGCCAACAGATGGCGCCACTTGCTTATTCTTGTCCAGGCTTTCTTATCTTATCTAATCATTATTTCCTATCTTGTTCATTTGCGGTTTTGCAGCTAAAGATGATGGTTCGGTAAAACCATCGAAACTAGTCCTGTGAAAAATTTCGAAAATATAACCCTGATTTTTGTTGTTTGACTTCTGAATTAGTATTTATTCGGCGTGTTATTGTGTCTTAATTAAGACGAACAGTTTTTGAATGGAGTTATCAATGACTGTGACAGAAAATCATCTAAAAAATCATCAAAATTGAATTCATATAGCTGCATTCAGGAGAAAGAAAATATTTTGAAGAAACCTTCAAAGCTGAATGTTCGTAAGAGTATAGAAAAAATATATACAGGTTGATACTATTTAGCATGGGAAAACAAAGAAACAGAAAATATTTAAGGTAAAACTCTTTTTAAATCATATTCATTAGAATCGAATTCTAATGAATATAATTTATTATATTCATTAGAATAAGTTTATTTATTAGCTTAGTTAGAATAGCAATGAAAGGACGAGAATTATGAGATACAATTTTAAACTGAACTGAGTGGTTGGATCAATCAAATTCATAATAGATGATATGTTGACAAATCTTCATTATTCCCGTCAAACAATATGTGAATGTTGTAGCACATTTCAGTACTCAGTATCCAAAATCACAATCCAGTATTTTGCTTCGCATTTGTATTTTGAATTTGTATGGTTATAAAAAACAATTTGAATAACCTTCATTTCGATTTCCTTTGTAATATTTTTCTAAGTTATTTACATATGACTAAATTGTTTATATAAACTTTCAAGCAGTCAAGCCCTTTAAAATAAAATTCCAAAGAAGCCTTACACTAAAACCAAACACTTTATTTCTTAAATACGTAATACTTTTGTAAGTACACTCATGAATATCTACACACATTTACAGGTATCAACATGAATATAATCCCATTTGTTAATCGAAAGATGCCTTTGAGCTTCTGATTATATATAAATCACGTATACTTTATATAAAATGTTTAACAGTAACATCAATGTACATTACATGGAAACATTTATTAACATTTTATCTAAAACATGAGCTTTTTTTAAACTGCTTATTCAACATTATATGCAACATTTCTCAGGTATACATATCAAGATACATTTGCATTTGAAACTGAGTGCAGATAACTCAGCTATGCGTAAAACATTTAAACATGTATTTATTTGAAGATTCATTCTTATTTGACAGTTGTTAAATAATGGTTTTGAATCACATAATAGCCTTAATGAATACTGACCTTCAATATGAAGCTGTTAGAAAGGGCTATATAGCCTCTCATCTTCAGAACAATACCCCAAATTTTACATAATATTCTCCTTGAAAATTGTCAGGTGTTTTATGTTAAAATTATATATATAATACCATTATAAAAATCATTGCTTTACAAACTTAACAAGGTCAGATAGGTATCACGTATTCTTGTATTCCTATTAATGTACACGGTATACTGATGAGTAGGTTATTTTACTGAAACACTTAATAAGTAAAATTTTTCCAATCAGATATTTTCGGCAGCAGAATAGCTAAAGAAAGCAGACACAAAAGCATTTACTCCGGATTCATATTTGGCCAGGTGGAATTTTAATATTTTTTTTTTGGTTGCTAGGAAAAAGAGAAAGTGTTTCCTCTATCAGATTAATTATAGATATATTTCAAGTATACATGCACGGATAAATGTGTCTGATGCTAATTAAATTATTCGCTAATAAGATTTTATCATAAGAAGAAGCAGATAAATCTCAAGTTTTTTGCGTTCATGTGAAAGTGTAATTTGATGTCAGCGTATCTGCAAGCTCTATTGCATTATAAACATTCCTAATATGTTTCTCGTCGCTAATATTAACTACTAATTGATAATTTATTGTTAATATGTTAATTAACATAACTTTGTCAGGTATATTATGTTAATCAAACTATTATTACGATTTTGATCTTTACGGTAACTTCGTCTTTCTTTGTTCCTTTTCAGAATGTAAATTAGCGTTAGCGTATTTAAGATGAGGGTTCAGAGTATTTAGTTCAGAAAGCTTCTAGCAATCGCGTTTGCTGTTAGTGTACTTTTGTCAGTTCTGCCTGAAATCTGATATTTCGGCTTTAGCCGTTTCGCTAGCCGATGTTTTAAATACGTGCAGGTAAAATAACTGAGGAAGCTTATTGTATTGAATATGTAATCTTTCTCAGTGTTTGAATTTAATTGTCTTTTATGACTTAATTTATATAGCCAGTTGTTGTGTCTTTGTCTGTAGCCCGAGTTTTGCCTTCAGCTTGAATTTAGACTAAATAAAGAAAAGATTTAAATTAATCTTTCTCTGGTACTTTGTGAGTGTTTGAGAAATGCTAACAAGTTCTGCAGGACTTTATTTCTAGCTTCCAGTTACAATACGAACTTTTTAACCTCATTGTTAATGCTATCTATTAACAAAAAAAAAAAAATCACATGTAGGAAGGTTTATCGTGTTTAATTTATATGTCCAGGTGTATTTTCTCAGTATTATGACCAGTTATATGTAATATCTTAATTTATATAGCCAGTTGTTGTGTCTTTGTCTGTAGCCCGAGTTTTGCCTTCAGCTTGAATTTAGACTAAATAAAGACAAGATTAATTTAATCTTTCTTCATGACTTTGTGAGTGTTTGAGAAATAGCGATAACTCGCTGTCTCGTCTAGCGGGTTCTGCAGGACTTTATTTCTACTTTCCAGTTACAATACGAACTTTGTAACCTCATTGTTAATATTATCTATTAACAAAGAAACACAAATTAGGAATATTTATCGTGCACGAGAAGCATCTATATAAAGACTAAATTGTATTACCTTTCCCCCCAAACATGGCAGATTGTCGGTAAAATATTGCTCTACAGAAATAATTTAATATTATTTACAAATATTTCATAACAAATTTTCGTCAAGAATTAAGTCATTTGCTGTGTTAATTTTGGATAAGAACACATATCATTTTTATATTAAAATTACTTTACCATGCTATTCATGTATAAATTTAACACTGAAAAATTTCTTTCATGTTTCATTAAAGCATATAACTGTCTTAAACATTTGCGTGTAATAACAGTTACATTAGAAAAGCTTATTGAAATTTCGAAGTGGTATAAATGTCTTCAACACTGAAAGATTGCTTCTTTAGATGTACAGATCCGTCTAGATAAATGAATCAAAATAGGAGGAATCGCACAATAAACGTTGCTTATTAACAATTATATTGATAATTTATTTTAAAATAATATATTTTAGGACAGAACAATAAAGTCAAAACTTGAAGTTTTATCATCAGTTTTATACATTCTCTTTTGCTACGTTGACGAAATGTCATTTCAATAAAGCTTTATTTAAATTATTTATTTAACAAAGAAACACACTTTATTAGTGTTAACACATTTGTCACTGAAAACAGAAACATGCTGTCATTTTTCCACCTCATTTTACGCTTCCAAAGCTGCAAGTGCACATATCTTGCAAGAGTTTTTTAAATGCTTTTCTAAATTCCATATTGAAAATTGTATATATGACTGGATTCACGCAGCTGTTGATGTAACCAAGCCACGTGGTCAGAAGGAAAACAGTCATTCCTGGCCGCCAGGTGTCGCTTTCCAGCTTAATGCATATAGCGTCTAAAATGTTGCAAGTGAAAAAAGGGACCCAGCACATCAAGAACATACCTGAAAGTATACAGAAGATTTTATATAAAATAATTAAAAGATAATATAATTGTGAAACAATTTAATCCATAATGTAATGCCAATCTGAGTTTAATTTATATGAAGTAAGTAATACTACGGTAAAGCGGGATAAAAATATCGAAGCATAATCTCAAATTTATTTCATATTTTAATTATATAATACAAACCATATTTCTAATCCAATAACAGAACAACTGTGTTAAATGGAACTACCCCTGGTTCTCTGCAAATGGTTTCCTCAAAACCTTTTCATATTTAAATCGATAACTGAAAGAAAAATTATTCCTTGGTATTCCTTATTTCCATACCTTTATTATCAGTACTAGCTGCAATTTTCACGCAATATTGTTTGTAGATGTTACTGGACTTTTGATTAGCTCCCATTCAAACACCTAACTGCTAATGGGCCACCAAATAGAGTCCACAAATTACTTCTAGACCATTAAAAGGCTTAGCAACTATTAAATGAATCAACGCAAAGTTTATCCATCCACAACAAGTGACACATAGTTTGAAACATAACAATAAAAACCTGCATGTGGAAACACAAAAAAATTACAGTTTAATTACCTGTCTCTTAACTATTTAAAGAATCATATCTGAAGTTTGAAACAAATACATGTATCAAGAATCAGAAGTGATTATAATAAATTTTACTGACCATTCAATGGAAAATTAATTACCTCGATCCAATATGTGACATGAATTGCCGACAGTTTCCTTTAGAACGTCCTCTACGAAATCATTCCTACCATTAGGCAGATAGCCCTTTCTGTCTTTTTCATTTCCAAATAATCGATAGGAATCTCAAATTATCGAACACATTTCCATTGATAAAATCTAACTTATATCGACATCGATATAAACTCGATAACGTTATACTGAATGACAGGTAAGACTCAGTATAACATCCACATCTATCATAGGTTCATATAAATCTATAGTAATATGAGTTGCAGTTAAGAAACATTTGTCTTTGATTCCTTATAATGATTTAAATTTGCATATTCTTCCGATTTGGACAAATATTGTTGATGCAGCTGAATTAAAAAGAGAAAATATGAGATTTGTATCGTAAGAGAAATTTAAAACATATTTGACACTCTCTAAGCGCATTTTTTACGTATTATTTAGATACTCTCTAAGCGCACTTTTTGGCTTTCTTGTGCCTGTCGCTGAATGCAATTTTACACTCAATTGATCGAAACAGTAAAATGCTACCTAACATAAGTCAACTACATGCCTTTGATTAGAAGATAATACGAGTATGTAATATCCTTATTGGCATTTACGCAACTTAGTTTCATAACCTACCTCATTTGCATGCATTTTCAACAAAGAAGCGAAGAGCGAGAAATAAGAAAACAGTCAGCTTTTGATTTTGCTTTGGAAAAAAAATCACTGTATGGCCCTTTTTAAGTTTTAAAAACATTAAACATAGTTATATGAAACATTGTGCAATTTATATAATTTTTAATTACCTAAGACTATTGCCAGTGTTTTAGTCGCCTTACGTTCTCTTTTGGCAGATGCTTTTTCCCTCTTTTTGCTGCTACTTTTATGTCTTTTCCCTAAATTGAACCTAGACTTCTTTTTCCTCTCTACCACCACTTCTCCAAGGCTGTGTTTTGTCTTAGATGTCTTCACTAAGATTCCATTTCGTTTCGGTGGAGTTTCCTTGGTGCTTTTACTCGGATCAATGATTTCTTGAATCACAGCAGATTCTATTTTTGCCTCTCCACAGAACTGAGTCTCTTGCTGAGAGCCTCCGTCATAACCGGAGTCATTTGTTCCATTCAATGGAACACTGTGTGTGGTAAGTTTCATGACAACTGTTGTGGAACCTTTAGAAACGACCAGGGCTTGAGGGTCGTCGCCGTTGGCCACAGCCTTTACATCTTCGTCGTCGTCTTCATCTAGATCTTCGTCTTGGTGGCTATAGCTTCCAGTATTCGTTGTGCCAGCATCCGTTTCTAAAACCACCTGAAGCTGGGATCCAAATTCCTTTTCGGCCGTTAATTTTAATCTGTGATTAGGCTTCTCTGACGCCGAGCTACTGCCAAGACGATTACCAGCATTAGCTCTTTTCTTTTGCTTTTTGGCACGCTCATGGATTGCCTAAAAGGAAATATAAGATGAATGTCACTTGTGCCTATATGAATATTGAATGAACGTATTAAGTATATTCTAATTTAGAGTTTAACTTCTGAACTTACACGCATTATTTATTATTTATATAACAGTTACATCAGTATTATTGTGATAGTTTTGATTATACATTAAACTAAGGATGTTTAGAAAATTATGTTTTTCACAGAACTACGAATCACAAAACATGCCATCAGTCTAAACATCTAGTTACGAAGTACGAATCACAAAACATGGCAGATTTAAACTCTGCACCCATCAGTTTTCCCAGTAATAGGGAACTTACGTATTTTTCACGGATTAGTAGAAAAAGTGTGGGGTGTAGGGAATAAGTGACGTTTATGCTAATAATATAAAAAACCATCATTATTTTATAATCCTTTGAGAAGAAGAATTAGGGGGAATTAATCCCCCTAATTCTTCTTCTCAATCTTAAGTAATTATTGAAATAAAACATGCAGCAACATGCTCTAGTTTGTAGCATTAATTTGAATTCTTCTTTAGATGAGAGTTCTAAATTTGAAATTACTTTAATTATTTCAACAGCCAAACAGATGTATTTTTCTTTTTTTCCCCTTGTGGTAGAAATGATAAAAAAAGAAATAACCATAAAATAACATAATTTCCATTAAAACTAAAAACAGGAATTGAAAAAAAAATACTCATAATTTAAATGCAAGTTAATTCTTTAATCGTTCAGTTAAAAGCGAGTTTTCTATTTCAAAAATATAGAATATCATCTTTAACCACTATAATGTAATTTTCTTAATCAAATCTGATATGAATGAAAAATCACTAACAACTGGGAATAAATTCAAATAGATATCTTTTGCTTCATTTTTATTAAGGTATAGACCTTTATGCGAAGCATGTTTTTTAAAATACACAAAATTATAATTAAATACACATGTTTTTGAGTAAGATGGGGTATAAAACTATGAATTTAAATAGGATTTTACAGAAATTTTCATTAATTTTTTAATTTATGTAATAATTAGAAACATTTTAGTGAAAATTGTCATTTACACCACATCTCCTATAACAGATTCTAAAGGATATACTTCAATAATCTTTACATATCTCATCATCTTATCTAACATACTTACTTGTGTTCTGTAGCAAAAGATTTGCTGTTTTTATAAAATTTGTTGAAATATTCCAAACTTCGTACAAAAACTAAAAATTAAAACAAAAATATCCTCTTTTCTTCAAAATACTGTCAGTAAAACCAATAAATAAATACAGAGAGGTAAGATTTTGCTACAGAACACAGCTAAAGATGAATAAAAAAAATCATTTCAATATTCTAAACACATTTTGAGAAATGAACATAATCGCAATCAAAAATAACGAAAAACACAGTTTCTTAGAAAATGCGTTTAAAGATTTTAATACAGCACGAAAAATTTTGTAGCCGCAATAAATCTTTAAAACTCGCCATGTTAGGCCATCTTGTGCTTCATTTTAAACTAATTTTGACTTCCTTTTAGCTTTTTCCTGGATAACATTGTTGCTTGTAGAGATTGGTGTTTCGATTTCTGAATTCGCTGGTCTATTCCCATGCAGCTTTCAAACATAATGGGATTAATTTCTATTTCTAGATACCTGAAAACAGGTAAAAATCCTAAATATCCTGAATTAAATAATAATACAGCAATATGTTCACCTAAAAGGAATGTTTCCAGTTGGATAAATTTTCTTTTGGTAAAATAGTCCACAAAAGGTTATTAAAACACTCATTATTATTAGGTCTTCCCATGTAGGCATTTTATCAGAAAATTCTTGTCACACAATGAAAGATATGTTGATTTTACAGCTTTTATATTGTTTAATAATTAGAAAATAGCTGTTTAAACTTATTGCTTACATTTTTATGTCTCTTTAAATGCGAAGTTCCGACATCTGAAACATCACTTCCGGTTTATTATTTATACTATAACTTTATTTCTAGTTATCGTAAAAATAAAAATAAAGAAGTTTTGGAAACCTAAATGTGTGGCCTATAAAATGAATAAATAAAACCAAATTCGAAAATTTTCACCAAAACGACGATTTTAGGGTAGGCTCATACCTTGTCTAAAGTAAACAAATACCTTAGCATAACATAACAGTTAATGTGAGAAAGGCCAACTTTTGTGCCTTATGAGATATTGTCTGAAAATAAGTTCTGAGGATTTATTTATCTTTTTTTACTAATAGTTAATTTTTAGTTAAAGTAGCATTCCTTTTCACTCTCCTTTTTTCCCACCGCTTTCCTGCCAGGATGTTCAACAGTTAATGCGTGGTTATTCAAATTTAGCGATAAAGAAGTGCTATTTAAGCGAAGGTTTCGGAAGATGATTTTAGAGCGTTTTATATCTGCTTGAAGGCCATGTTGTTACTTAATAGCAGTTTGATCCTGTGGCGACGAGTGCTTCTAGCCAGTAACCTTGTTCTGCCAGCTTTTGCGAGTCAGAACCTTCCTGCGTGATTAAATTATTCTGGGAGCCTTTGGGCTAGTTTACTTACTTTAGGCTAGTTTAATCTTTTGTATTAAGGGCAAGAACATTTCATTTTATGTTCATCATTATTTGCTTAAGTTAAGCCAGAAGTATTTGCTTATATGAGTTCAAACTGTGAAACTATTTGTGATTGAATAAGGGGTCAGATACTTCGTACTTCCGGCTTCGTCTGCTGTCAAGACATGAGGATAACTCCTCTACAGTCTTCCTAGATCTCGTTTATTAATGTTACCAAAGAATACTAGACTCTATAAAGTTTAAAAATGTCAACGTTTGAAGCAAATACACATTCATAAACATAAGTATAGATGGCATGAAGCAAAATCTTATTTCTGTATTTTACCATAAGTACGACAGCTGGGTATTTTAAAAAAAACTGATAATATACAACACAATTTTATAGATTTTAATGAATTCAAGGATTTTATATAAGGCAAATATTTAAATGGCAGTAAAATATTTTTCAGTTATTTTAATATTTATTAACAATAAATAAATGAAATACTCAAATATATTAATAAGTACAAATAAATACTTAAATCACAATAATAATGCGCGGTGAACAGTTTTTCCTGTTGTGAATAAAAGCAGATATATAATTTCGTACGGAAGTGTGTAGTTGAATAGTAACTTAATCTTTAATATAGTATATAATAATAAATATCATGTTTACATATTGATAAATATAATGTTTCTATATAAATAAATATAATGTATATATATATATAGTAAATTGTTTAATATAGCATAACAAAGAGTTAGCAAATTCAGTAATTTTAATGCACGATATCAATTAAACATTAGCAGAAATATGAGCAATTAATTACTATAAAATTTTACAAGACAATATAACCTTTAATGCTTCAGCCTAATGCCTTTAGCTCAAAATTTATCTGCAGTAGAAGACAGTTTTCGTTATTAGGTTATTAAGTTTTTTGAAATAATGATACCTTAAATATCTTGTAGTAGAGAAACACCATAACCAAGCATGGTATGTAGAATGAGCTCAATGATGAATATATGATGAAATCCGAATTATAAAACACGCAGAGTTGAGGTATTCTCTCAGGAGATGTATTGAGGCCAAGAACAATAGGGGACCCGATGGCGGCAGACACAAACCACACGATGGCAATAGTCAAGAATACTCTCTTGTTGTTACGATGCTTGGAATACTTTATGGGTTGAGTGACAGCAATGTACCTGAAAGAAAGTTTTCAAGACGTACTGAGAATATATATATATACATGGAACATGCAAAAATTTCAATCGTTTTTAAAATGTATGAAATTAACAAATTGGGATATGAAAATGCAATTTCCACCTGAAAACTTAACACGAAAGCAGGTGTTCTAAAGCACGATACTCTTTGTTTCAAATTTATCCTACAGAGATGCAGCTAAAAAATTAATGTTGTAAAAATATAAAAAATTGAATCTTTAACAGATAATTTGCAGTACAGCTTTCTGGACAGATTGCTGCGTTATAGAACACGCAATATCGTTGCAAATGCCAACGAATTGCAAGGATGAAAATTAATTGCAAATGCAAACGATTTCTAGATAATCTTCATTTTCCTCCTACTACTCATAAGCTGTTACGAAACAGCTATATATATATATATCCGTTTATCCGTTAAAAATATTATCCGTTAAAATATATCCGTTAAAATATCCGTTTTCATTTGCACAAACGGATAAATGCTAAGTACAGAGGCTGATCGCACATTTTTTAGACGATTTTGGTGAGCAGTAATAAAAACTCGTTTGCTGCAAAAGAAGTAATTGCAATTGTACTATGTTTCTAAAAGTCAAAATTATCGTATGTGGCTTGAAAGTTTTGTTTTTATTCAAAATGGCGAATTTAACAAAGCAGTGGTTCGAAGGCTACATTTACGCTCTTTCGGAAGAGAAATATGCATACTCCGTTATCCAGAAACGATGTGAGAGTCATGGTTTTGTAATATTTAAAGCGTCGATAGGTAATATCAGGAACAAGAAAGGAAAAAAAACGTCAAATTGGAGCCTCAAGTGGGACAAAAATTTCAAGCAAGTATCCAAGGAAAAAACGGACATCTTTAACTATTTCAAAGGCACGTTGCTTGATATTAGAAAAAATCCCCCTTGTCAAAAGACAGTTGCAAAATCATTAAAATGCTCGGTGTCCACTGTAAACAAAATGATAAACGTTGATTTAAATCTTAAGAAAGCGAAAAAACGCAATGTGCATCTTCTTTCAAAGCATATCGCTCAACGAAGGACACGCTGCAGAATTCTATATGGGAAATACTTATCCAAAGAAAAATGGAAAACAATTGTCACAATAGATGAAGCATGGGTGTTCTTAAGTGATTGTAACAAAAGAAGAGCCATTTATTATGATAAAAGGGGAGAAAAAATTTAAGTACATGGTTCAAAGAATCGAAAGAAAGTTTTTCTAAGGGATTCATGATTGTTGCTGGTTTTTCTTATAATGGCAAGTTAAAAATAAACAGAGTGCAAAAAATGTCAAGATTAACTCAAAATACCATCAGGAACATATTTTACCGCCAATTTTTCTGAATGAAATACCATCCCTTTACCCACAGTGCCATCCATCTGTGCGACTCCATCAGGACAAAGCTAGCAGTCACACATCAAAATCCACTGTAAATTTCCTAAAAGGAATGGAACAAAAAACTGGTATCAAGGCTATACCCTTCACTGATATCCCAAATAAATCTCCCGATGTGTCACCTATGGATTTGTGTGCTTTCGGACTTTTAAAAACTGCATTATCCAAACGTTGTCTCAAAATCCTAACAGGACTCTGGAAAGCTGTTCGGGAGGAATGGGATAGAATACCTCTTCTGCCACTTCAAAAAGCATTATTATCCTGGAAATTGCGGTGTCGAAAGATAGTTCAGAATTAGGGATGTCAAATAGAACATTTAAAACACAAGAATTTTATGTAATTTAATTTTGGGAATACAATATACGTCGTCTAAAAAATGTGTGAACAGCTTCTGTAATCTTAAATTTTCTTCCCTTAATTATGAGCTGATACGAAACAGTGCCATCTATTGACAAAAATTAAAAATGTTATCTTAAATTCTTCAATAAAGTGTAGTATTAAACTTTATTAAGAAGTATTAAATTTTGTATTATTTCAGTTTCGTAAAGATGAAAGCTACTGCCCAGACGATAGTTTGGTTAGGGCAGCCGGCTGTGATACCACAAAGCCCAGGTTCGAATCATAGAGAAGGCATGGTTGCAAGTTTTCTTCCCTTCATTGGAGACAACGGTGGCCGCTAATTAGATACTCCGCAATAAAATTATGAGAAGTGGTGCCCATTTTATTGTGAGTAATTGTCCATTTTTTCGACAACTGCCATGACCACTCTTAAGGATGAGGCCTTTTTGGAAAAGAATACGCAAGGATTGGCTTTAGGGTGGCCATTGTCGAATAGACAAGTGCACAAAATTAGATTCTAACCGACAAGGCCGTATATATACGACCTGGGATATTTTTTTTAATATCTGTAAGAACGTATACAAACGTGCATATTTAAATATGTCAAAGAAATTAAGGCAATATATCAAAAGTACACAAATCCATGTATGGAATACCAGCAGCGGTTTTACATTAAATCAAAAAAAAAATAATTTGTTCTCATAGTAGTTTTGGGGAATTTATGCTTTCTTAGCGAAACCCCTGGCCGCTCAGAGGGTTAAAAAAAAGAAATAAAAGCTTTAACAAAGTGCACTTAAAAATTTTAAATCTGAATTTAGATAAGTTATATAATATATTATTAGATAATATATCTATTGAAGAAATTTATCAGTATATTAATGTTTTAATACTTTTCATTGTAATCAAATGTTTATTCAGAGCATCACAGATTTCAAAATGAAAAAAGGTTTATGAAACCATCAAAGCTGCCCTCTGGAACATTATCATAATTACTAAAATAACATAAAACTGAATGCTTTTAAATTTGCTTTAGAATAATAATTATCATAAGATGTATCAATTAATTCAAATGTTATTAAAATAACAATAATATTTGCAGTTTCCTTTTCAAAAATTTGAGACGAAACAGAATTCCAGTTTTTTAAAAATATATTGTTTGCTCACGAATTTATCATCTTAAATTACAATGGTTAATTTATAAATGAAAGTACATCTAAGAATTTCAAAAACACAACAAACACAACTTGGAGTTCTAAAAGAAGAAACGTGGTGGAAGGTGAGCTCGAATATATGAAATAATATGCTTTGTAAATGCCGAAGATTAAATGCCGCGCTTTCACCTTCTATAGCTATTCGACAACAAACACTTTGAAAAACTTACAATTGTATCTACCAAATTACATGAAAGGGTTGTTCCCTCACATATATAGGTCAAACTCAAAACCCTCTCAACCTCAGTATTAATAACCATAGATCTCATATGATTCAAATGTTTAAAGCTTGTCTTAACTTCAATCAACATATTATTGCCGGTATGAGTTGAGTTTTAAATACGCTTTTTATCTGTAAGTATTCTAGTGATAATTTCATTTATTTATTAACATTAAATTATTTTGTATTTACACTTTTCCTTGCACTTTATTTTTAACTTATGTGAAAATTTTTTCACCGGAACCGCAGTATCACAACGGCTTTTAAGCGGAAGCATTAAGAATTTTCTTTTTGCCTTGTTTTCTAATTTTTGCAGCTCAACGCTCAAAATTCTTGACCACATAGGTTTTTTACTTGTACGAAGTAAAAAAATAGTATTGTAATCGCGAAAAGCTTCAGGCAGCATATTTCAACGAAAATATCCACTTTAACCGCTTTCGAATGCAATTTAACGATGTTTTTGCGTGATATCTATACGTAAGGACAGAATAAAAGACTCTTTTCCTCCAAAAAAGATAAAAAACTGCTTTAAAATGAATTCTGAAGAGAATTTTTCGTGGCGTCTGTACGAACGTATGTACGTACGTGCGTGCGTACGTACGTACGTCTCTCGCATAACTCAAAAACGAGTAGCCTCATAACGTTGAAATTTTGTATATAAGACTACTATAACATGTAGATGTGCACCTCGTATTTTGGTTTCAATCGGCCGCGCCAAACGTATGTAAATATATTTATAAATATAACCACTCTGTTACCCGGCTCAGTAATCTCAGTTTCTTTACTCTTATACGTTTGTAAATTGTACATTTTTTTCTTTAAAATGATTGAATTATGTTGTTTTTATCTTCCGGTTAAGGGTTTTATGCCTTTAGTAAATCTGTATGCAATATTTTTAGAATTATCAACAATTTAAAAGTTGTTAAGTGCCGTTAAGCCTATTTTGATGGCGGCCATTGCTTCTTTACATTTGAAACAGCTGAGTAGTGAATTTGTTGCCAATCTAGAGAAACGTAGCTTCGCAACAACAAAGATAAACGCCTTCATTTATTTTTGCGATTTAAAACATGCTTAATCCTTTCTGGAATTTTTTCGAGAAAATAAGTGTTTAAGATTTACTTTATTTTTAATAATTTAATTTTTAATAATGAGTAATTTAATTTTTAATAATTAGTAATTGTTAGTAGAGATATTTTGAGTTTTTATGTATTTTTGCCTTGTCGCGAAGTGAGAACTGAATTAATTGAATGAGAAATACTCAATCGTCTGTGAAAAACTGTTTCTTTTTTGTTTTGTTTGCCTAATTTCTTTTACACATCGTTCTAGCTTTATTATAGTACTTGAATAGAACATGTGGCTACGATTAGATAATTCTTTAAATGATACAAATTTTGTGCATTGTGAGTTATAATTTGAACAAGATGTAATACTGTTAAGTGAACCTAGCGCCAGAGTGTCGCTGTGGTAAACAAATAGAATGAATTTTAAAGAATGCACATATTCTATTGTTGTTTATGCGCTGTCGGCGAAGTAGATATAATTAAATGCAATAAGTGTAAACAAAATGCCAGAAAATGCGTATAATTTAATATTTCGTATAAGGAAGTCATGTGGTGTATACATCAGATTTTTTAAGTTTGTTCTCCTTTCTTAAATTATATATATATATATACCCACTCTGTTAGCCTGAAATGTCAGCTCATATGTTTATTCTTATATGTTGCTAAACTGTGCATTTTTTGCTTTAAAAATGATTGAATTATGTTCGCATATATCTCCGGTTAAGGTATTTATGCTTTACGTTCTTATGCATGCAATAG